TCATCATCATCATCATCATCATCATCATCATCATCATCATCATCATCATCATCTTTGCCTTTCTCACCCTGGATTAGGGTATAGGTCTCGAACAAATACTTTCAACCTTTCCCTATCCTGGGCTAGCCTCCCCTGTCTTCCCACTTTTTTTGTGTACACATCAATTTCTGTGACTCATCTCCTGGTTCCCCGTGGTCTTCCCCTTGATATATTATTACCCTGTGTATTTCAATCCAACACTTTCCTTGTTATGCAGCTGCCTGACTTCCTGACTGAGGGTATGCTCAATCCATCACCACCGTCTGCCTGATAATTGATTAAATAACCCTCTTTGTTAGGTCCCTTTTCCTTTATATTATATATTACAGGTATGTCTTTAATTTTACTACCAGTCGCTCTTGAAGAAGCCTTTGAGACGAAACGTTAGGCCGTTTTAAAAAACAATTTTAATGCATATTGTTCAACTCAAAATTATACAAGACTCTCCCTCCCTAATCTGCTTTTTCGATGATGATGATGATGATGATGATGATGATGATGATGATGATGATGATGATGATGATGATGATGATGATGGACAGTAGGGGAAAGCAAACATAAACCATGCAACAATTTAAAATGAAAAGAACATTAAAAGTAGATCCTGGACTTACGTCTATCTTTGAGAGGAAGCTCTTCATCCGGGCCTTGAGTATGGCTTTGTTTAAGCAGGTTCGTTGTATGTAATCCATGATAAGCTTGAGGTACTCGCTACTCGTTTTGCTCTGAAATGAGATTTAAAGATGGAAACTTGACTGAAATGATTGCGAAAGTAATGATGATGATGATGATGATGATGATGATAATGAGGAGGAGGAGGAGGAGGAGGAGGAGGACAAGGACGAAGAGGACAAGGACGAAGAGGACAAGGACGAAGAGAAGAAGAAGGACAGACTCGCTCTCCAGATTAAAATCTGAAGAAATCTCGCAACAATAACAATATAACAAAATTGCTTTTAACACAACCCTAATGTCAACAGAACGTGACTCATTAAATGGACAATTTTCGAAAAAGAAGCTCTGATTGAGATGACAGGATGAGCAGACAATAATGAACAAAGATGGTTTGAGAACGATTTTTCAAGAGAGAAAGGTAATTTGATGTAATTTCGTTTGTCTTAGCCTTTCAGGGACAAGATTGCTATACACATGCCAAGTTTGAGATGCTGTTAACTAGATTCAAAAAAAGGGGTTACTATGGTAACTAGAGAAATATAAATTCAACAGTCAACCGTTTTAAAACATAATCGTGAAGCCTTTACTTTTTATACTATCTATCTATCTATCTATCTATCTATCTATCTATCTATCTATCTATCTATCTATCTATCTATCTATCTATCTATCTATACCACTC